CTCTTTCACAGTACGTGCAAATGCTGATTTCTGCTGCTGGCTATTTTGTCATTGCAAAAAAGATTGGTGGGTTAGGAGTCAAGTTCATCTTTATACAGGGTTGTGAGTAGTTCATTTACCATAGTACTCAGTTTGGAACTTCTCTTTCTTGAGTGCACATATAAGCAGTAATTTCACCAGCCAGTGGTGTAGGTCTTGGTGTTTGGACATTTTCAAGGTCTGGAAAGGCAGAGGGCATTAATTCACTCCCAACAGTTCAATCAATGGACAGTGAGTATTTCTGGGTTTAATGTCGTTCTGTATCTCCTTATCAAATGCTGGAGCCATCCATTGTTCTTTTGACTTAAACTGAAACTTCACGTTCAGGTTTTCTGAAAGATGACATGAAAGGAAAACCTGCACAAAATCATAGTATAACAGAAACCTATGCCGAGAATTTTAGGCTGTATCTTAACTTTATCAAGGAATCACTTTGCAAGTTTTTGCTTGATAAAGAATTAATGACTGGTGTAAGTTCATGCCTTAATTTGTTTTCTAGGGGTGAATGTGGATTGAGAGAATATTCTGAAGTTAAAACTGTGACAATAAAGATCCCTCAGAAGAACTCCTAAAACGACAAAGGACCACGTTGTGCAAAAGAGCACATGATGCCACCCTCTCTATTCCTTATGGAGACCAGCACTCAGGAATAAAAAGTGTTACACAATATATATTTAAGAAATTAAGTTGCAACATATATATTGGGCACATATCTGCATACATAATACAAACCAACTCTGCATGTTGTCATAAAACTTTCTCTCCTGAGAATCGTTACATCTTTATAAAACAAATCATAACGAGATAAAATTGCTATTGGGCATCATTTAGTAACCGTTCTAGCTATGAAGCTGTTAAATGCAAATGCATGCACACACACATTTATCTCTTCTTTAAATAAGCAAAGTAAGCCTTTACTGCTTTCAGGTTGCCTTCTCAAAGAGACCTGCCTTGTACTGACATTCTAGTTTCAGTCAGGGCTTTACAAGCCAGATTTTACCCAAAATGCTAGCAGTGAACAACATAAACAAGTATCATTGATGTTCTTAAAAAATAAAAGACTCTGAACGGTAACGAGCCAAAACCTGGTACATTGGCAACTTTCCAATTAGCACGCTTGCATAAAGAGGTCAATCTGGGGAGGGAATCAAACCATTATATGGACAATGACACCCAAATACTTACCAGTGAGATTTGGCTTTCATGACCCACAGCGATTTGGTTTTCAAAGCTTATTTTCATAATTACTTTATGTCTTGCTATAAACAAAAATCCTTCCTCACTTACAGGACCTTGAAAGGTTTTACCTGCCTGTTAAAAGAGCATGGCTAGACAGGGTGGGAGGGTGTTAAGGAGAACAGGAACAGATCTCAACATTTCACAGAATATTTCAGTTTTCACTGCTTGTCTAGGTTTGTTGTTACTGTTGTTGTTTTCACTTTTTTTCTTTTTTTAAACAAGTATATGCACTCACAGACTCCATTTATTTATCTGTCACTAAACTGCCTGTGATTACACTGGGAATTATTAAGTAGGTGTTACAGCAGGAAGAACCCAGCAAAAGCCCACCTGACTTTATTTTCTCACTAAATGATGGCTTTGCCATCTTCACCATGCTTGTGAGCCTCAAGTGAGCTTACTGGCCGGTACTGACGTTTCAATTATGTCTGTTCTTTTTTTCGGCCCAGGACAAAAATACAAGCAAGTTCTTTTAGAAGTGAGGTGTTTAAAACCTGTCACATTGTGACCTGCTGCCTACAGAATCTCTTCCAACTTGTAACTAACAAACTAAACACCATCTTTCTTCTTTCCAGCTGCAGAGCTTATCGATTCCCTGGACTTTTTTTAAAAGAGGTTTCATTTTACGTTTTAACTTAGAATTAAGAAAATTTATTTTAAAAGTACAGTAAACCTACACTGTGTAGCTACATTATCTGGGGTGTAAGGACAGAATTATGGCCTCAGGTGTAACAGTTTTCCTAGCTGCAGAGTTTAGACTATGAACTGTTGAAAACTCCAGGTCTGATCAGCAAATCAGAAATTTCTGCATGTTCTTAACTTCCTTTACTCTCTGAGGAATTCCTCTTAGATTTTAAGTTGTACGTATCCTTAAACAAGCTGCTGGATCAGGACAAGAGTATCCAGCACTTTGCAGTGTGATAGCCCTCAATATTTTGTATTTCTAACTCATGTCAAACTGTGTGTGTGTTTTTAAAGCAATATGTATACATGTTATTCAGAAATGACAATACATTCACAGACATGGAGATGAATCAAAATATTCCTGAGCTGTTAAATGCAAATGCCATATCCTTCTATTGTAGTGTATGTCAGAGTGAAGAAAAACAAAATACAGCAAATAAGAGATTAGTTATCTTTTAAACTGCAACATAAAATGTGAAAAGGGAGATTTTACTACTTTTCTCCTATTTACTTAAAAAAAAAATCCTGTGCTAACAGCATTTACATCGTGTACTCTTTTGTATTCTTTTTGTGTATTTTGTAAGTCTGTGCTTTATTCCCAGTACATTCCGGTATATAATATAGAGTTGCCATTTTTTTTTCAACCTTGTCACTGCAGCTTCATTTGATATACATGGATTTGTGAAATCCTTTTTTAAATGTACCATCTGCATGGATCCAACAAAACATTTTTCCAGTCCCTGCAGCTTTTTGTTACAGTTTTTAATCATGTATATAGTTATATGTTATTAAAAAAGTAAAAGGATATTTTCTATGAAGTTTTTTCCATTAAAAAGGTTTAGAGAAAGACTTTAGACTGTGAGACTCCTTTATTATTGACAGAGCTATAAAAATATTAAAAAAAAATATTTTCTTAGCAAAAGATCTGCTCTCACAGTAGCTTTATTTTCCTTTGCAAAAGTGAATGAAGTAAAAGGCCAGTTACATTTTCTGGAATATTATTGCAGCTGTATGGAAAACACTTGTGAATTGCAGATCTAGGTCATAGCCAAAGTTCATCCTCACCCTCATGGTCATAAAGTTTAGCTATTGGGGAAGGTCTGAAATCATCAGAATCAGTGGGGCACCCTCGCAAACTGCTGCATCACAGCTTGAGTTTTGGATAATGTTTAAAAAAAAATCATGATGCCTTGTCTTTCTCTAGTAGATGAGTCAGAGATGATTAAATTAACACTCAGATCTTTTATGGAGTGATATTCTACTTGTGTTTCATTTCAAAATGCTAAAAGAGATTGAAAGGACAGACAATGTTATTTGACAGCCAATAAAATTCACATGGCCAGGTACTATACAACTCTCCCTCAAGCAATCCCTTTATTCCAGGGTTACTTTCATTGCCAAGAACAGCATTCCTCTTTTGAAATGGTGCCTATTTAGATAAAGTAACGAACCAGTTAATAAGGCCAAGCTACTTCATTGTATGGCAACCAATGGTTATACCTCAGTGTCACAGAATAATACTGTTGGTTTAATCAACACTCTACAGGCAATCACAATAGATAAAGTAACTTGACTAAAACAGATGGGATAAAAGAGAAGAAAACTTAATGACAGGAGTGAAATTGCATTTTCAAAAAGAGGTACTGTTCCTGAAAGTCTGGGATATCAGGAATATATTGAGCAGAGTTTCATTTCTATTTAATTAGTGGCACAGACAACATTCTGTCATGGGACTGTGAATGGACAATTACCACCTTCCATATTCCCCATCTCTCTGGCCTGTTTGCAACCTGTCTTACCAGTCCAAGCAGTCACATAGGCACAAGCAATGGAGTCCTTTTCTGAAAGCAAAATGAATGAAGGAAGGTTGTTCTGGAACCCACTGAAAACAAGGAGTGTTGTCATCTAATGAAATGAGCAAAGTTCAGTCCATAGCAAACAAGCATTCTGTGGACCCCCAGCCAGCCAAAGTAAATGTATCAATAAATGCCTATATAGGTATAGTAAAGGGAGAGTTTGGAAATAATTGTGCATTTCTTCTGGGAAAAGGATGTGAAGAAAGGCAAAAAAGAATTCCAGTTCTGTGGCCTTCAGACAAAGCAATGGATATTGCTACTACTTGAATAGCATTCATGCATTTATGAAAGAACGCTTTCTCTTCTTCCCCACAGATGCCACGATGAAAAAACTTGCCTTGCATATGCAGAGGCAATGTGTTCCAGTGCCCTCTTATTTCTCCATTCTGTCCTGGAAAACAGAGAACTCTTAATAACACTGAATTCAGGGCACCAATTCGGCTAGAGAGAAAGTCAAAGACAAGCAAAACACTGTACTGATTACTTATGGCTCTCTGCATGGTCACACCTAGAGCTCTGGAGAGCTACATTTACAACCACCTTACATTTGCATCCATACATCTCCATTTACTGCATGCCAAGTCCATCAACACAGGAAGTTATTTTTCTCATAACAACTTCATACCACAATGACTGATATTCACAGTGCTATATCTATCAGGATGCAGGAAAAGCCTCTGTGGCTATTAGATGCCATCATCATTCCCAACCCATTCAAACAGACTTCTCACAGCACATTAGACTACAGCTGCATAAAATGCATCTTTCTTCCTCGTCCTTATTAAACATACAGTCGATTAATTCTTTCTGTATCTTCACTGTACCTTCTGTGTCCACTGACAGTGCACAGGTATCAGGGAAATATCTGTGGCTCTGCCAGAAAGCTCAGGAACTTCTGAAACAAAGTGGCAGACTTTAGCATATGTGAAGTTGGGCGACTTACAAGGATAGATTAGGCTTATGTGATAGTGGTGGTATAATATCATGTGACTAAAGTGTGGCTAGAATATGCTGCTACTAGGGCTTGGGGTTCCACTTTCCTCTTCCACACAGTACGATGTGGAGTGCTAGGATGCTGGTTCAATAAGCACTTGCCTAATTTTCTCAGAGGACCGGAACCGACACACTGGAATTCATGGTTACCACAAGCAACAGATTATTACAGCTGGCTGCAGTGTGAGTTCAGTTGTTTTAGTGGTGAAGAGCACTTCAAGCTGTCTGTATAACCACAGCTGCTACACTGGGGTAGTGCTCAGTGCCAAGTGCTTGGTTATCTAAGATTGAGGCCTAGAACCCTCACTAAAAGCCAACCTCATCCCCCTAGCACAGGTACTCTAGAGCCTAGTTGCACTGTAAAGACCACAACTAATTTTTCTGATACCAACAAATTTAAACCCACTCAAGCCACTACTGAAAACAGGGACCGCACCCATGGATCAATCCACTTCTTCTCTACTGTGAACATTTGCACTGTTACGTTTCATGGGTTTATAGGATGAGTTTCATCAAACAGCAGAGACACATACATTTTTGGCTGTGCCTGCAAGTGCCAGGAAGCACTCCAGGGAACATTATTTCACCTGATTTCAAGTGACATCTATAAACGCATTATGGAAGGTCCCTGCCATCAGCTGTAATGCCCCAAAGTCTCCAATGCCCAGGAAGGCCAGACATCTGCCGGGACAATTTGCCTAAGGATTGATGAAGTCTGCATTGCTGATGTTCCCCAGTGCATTATTGTAACCATTCCTTGTATTACCATTTAATTCTAGAATCTAACATCTGTTTTTATCTGCCTGGAGACTCTTGATGAGACCTGCTAAATAAACCTGGATTGTGCAACCACAACAGCAATAGACTAAGAAAAGCTCCAGCTGCAGAGGTTGCCATGGAGGCTGTGCACACAGCAGGCTGAAGTAACCCAAAAGGGTGCTTGTGAAATGTTTGTGCTGCTGGCAGGCAGCACATTGCCAGGACAGATCACACATCATGCATTTGCACATCAAATGAAGCTGCACTGGTCTGAGAGCATGGGAAAGGCCTGTCTTGAACGGCATGTGTCCTACTTCCTAAACATGTATATTTTACACTTTACACTTGGTTACCAGCCAGATTGAAAGTACCGCAAGTTCCCCAAAGCTTGTCGTTTTGCCTTTGAAGTAGAACTGTTTGGATAATGTTTCCTTTGGCAATTTATCTATGTAACAAAGCAGGAACTTAGCTGTACTGGCCTCTGAACAATCCACCGCTAGCTTTTGTTGAAGTATTCATGCGTTTATGTATATCCACTCACACACAATTTGATCATTTTTCATTACCTTGCTTAGCCCTCTCCTCCTCCCTTTTGTATCCTCATGATGAGGTTGGTGTAACTTGTGCTAATATTAACTCGCTTCATTTTGGGTTTTTTCCCTGCTCTTTGTACGCCTGGCTGAGTTCCCATTTCCTACAGCAGCTTAATTAGTAAGACATTTCTGTGCAGCTCACTCCTGCTGCCCAGTAAAATGAAAATGTGTTTGTACTGCTTCTCCTGGCAAAAGAGCTCCAGCTCATGGTCCCCTGGTTTTCTCGGACTCTCCTGGGACCACAAGATGGGACATAGAGCTGGATCCCTTGTGAAGTTTCTGTTCTTTCCTGCTTTCTATCGGTCCAAAACATCTCCCACAGTCTTTGGCACTTAACATCCTATCACAAAGCACAGTCAGTGCCTGGCAAGTGAGGCCTCCTTTTAGTTTTTAATTTTAAACTTCACAAATGCTCAGGTTTCTGGGAAGGATGCTGAATGGAAAGTACTCCTCTCTCCCATCACAAAAGTGGAGATTAAGGATGACGGCTAAAGTGTTCCCCTTGTATCTGATGGTCCTGCCACTAGTCAGAACTCCCAGCTCATTCATTCACCATGACAGCGTGGCTTTCACTCAGAGCTGGCTAGTGAGATGCCCTATCCCCAGGCTGTACAACTATGGGGACTAAGCAGATAGCCTTTATTCAAATCAAGCATTTCAAAAAGTCCAGAAAAGTCACCAAATACTCTTCAGCCTTATTCTTCCAGCATCAAGTGCATATTCTCTTTTAAATACAACTTGGCTGTGAAACTAAGGAGAAAAACACATTGTCTCCAAATAAACGGGCATTTGTAAAGCTACCAATCTGTGGTTCCTGAGCAGCCTGGAGCTCCTGAGCACTACAAGGAAAGCTCCTACATCACAATGTTGCGTTGCACCAGGATTGCCTTATCACAGGGGCTGCCACATCCGATGTAGGGGAGGAAGCAAGTCTAGTGAGGCTGCTGAGAGCACCATGCCCCTTCTGTCCTGGCATGAATCACTTCCCTCGTTGTGCTGGTCACACTGCTTTTGGTGCAGCCCAGGATATGATTGGCTTTCTGGGCTGCAAGCGCACACTGCTGGCTCATGTTGATCTTCTCACCCACCAACACCCCCAAGTCCTTCTCCTCAGGGCTGCTCTCAATCCATTCTCCACCCAGCCTATAGCTGTGCTTGGGATTGCCCCGACCCACATGCAGGACCTTGCACTTGGCCTTGCTGAACTTCATGTGGTTCGCATG